ACCCATCCTGACCCTAGGATGTGCAACAAGAACTTTTAAACCAGCAGCTGTAACATCTCTGCTAGAGCCTGCATTGAGAACTGGGAGATTTGGTGCATGTAACGTACTAATCTTTAACAACCTTACTCTCAGGCTTTTCTTTCTTGTGTTAATAAACCTTTAGTTGTTAGATTCTAAAGGATTGGCCCAGCGTGATTTGTGGGTAAGGTCCAGAGGGTAAATTGACCAGGGATCTGTGGCTGGTTTCTTGGAACCGGACAGAACTTGTTCGGGGTAGGTGGGATTGGGTGTTAGGACCCCCCACCTGTGTATGATGCCTGGGGCCATCTGGGGCACGGATATTGCTGGGGTGTTGGAGGGGTTTTGCTCGTGAGACTTCAGGCAGGTTGCTGAAGCGCTCTATGGGACTGGTTTGTGGCCTGTTTGGAGAGGTCACCAGTCTGGGGGCTGTAAGGAGCCCCGGATTTGAGCAATTCGCCCTGAGCGGACGCCCTCAGCTGTGCCCAGACACGGCCCGGTCCGTCACAGGCGGCTCTCTGGGTCCGTGCTTCGAGCCTGACGAGAATCACCCCATCTGGGCAGCGATCCTAAATTTCCCCTCCACCGCTAGCATCCCTGCTGTTCTAGGGCAGGAAGCGTTGGGTGTCCAGACCCAGCTGCTATAGGATGGGTGGGACAGATGGGCCTATGGAAGCGTGATCCCATCCTCTCCAAAATCTGCAATACCCGCCCTGTCCTTGTGCCCCCACGGTGTAGGGGCTGGAACTCCCCTAGATCTCAGCCCTGCCCCGCAGGGGAACCCTCTCTAGAGCTAGTCCGTGGCTGTTAACCTCCCCTTACGGGGAGCTACAGGGAGCAAATTAGGGCCAACTGCAGGCGGGATTTGGGGACTTGTCCTGCTAGGAACAGAACTGAGACCCTATAAACTCATTGCACCTGGGGGCTATCCAATAGGAAGGGCTTGTGGTCACTGCTGCTCTGGAAGCAAAAACCTACGTCTCTTCTGAGGCGTTTTCCTCCTGACCCCACACGGTACCTCCTAGGCCTGCCTGTTGCCTACTTCCTTCTCCACAGCCCTCCCCGCCTGGCACTACAGAGGGTGCCGGCCTTGGCGCTGCCTCATAGACTCATAGACTTTAAGGTCAGAAGGGACCATTATGATCATCTAGTCTGACCCCCTGCACAGTGCAGGCCACAGAATCTCGCCCACCCCTCTTAGAATAATCCTCTCACCTATGTCTCAGATATTGAAGCCTTCAAATACTTTGAAGGCCCCAACATGCAGAGAGTCCTTCAGCTGTGATCTGTGCCCAATGCTACAGAGGAAGGCGAAAAACCTCCAGGGCCTCTGCCAATCTACCCTGGAGGAAAATTCCTTCCTGACCCCAAATATGGCGATCAGCTAACCCCTGAGCATGTGGGCAAGACTCATCAGCCAGACACCCAGAAAGTTCCCTATAGCAACTCCTATCATCCCTCCATTGACCTATTTCCAACTGGTAATGAATGGTCAATTAGTTACCAAGATCATGTTATTTCATCCAACCATCCCCTTATCATAGAGTCAGAACTGGAAGAGACCTCAGAAGGTCGTCAAGTCCAGCCCTCTGCTCTAGGCAGGACCAATCCCTCCTCTACCTCATTCACTCCCTTCACAGAGGAGTTGGCCCCGAGACTCATTCCTGGTTTGGCCTGGGAGCTGGATGCTCTTGGATGAGCTTCTGCGCTTCCTGATGACCCAAGGGGCGCTGGAAGCATCCGCAGAGGCCTGGAACTGCATTGCAACTTGCCTCTGTAGGGAGCGGGCGGCCAGGCGGGAGCCTGCAGCTGCGGGAGGGGAGATGGGCAGTGCTGGAGGCGGTGTGCCTGCCGGGTAGCTTGCCGGCTAGTCACAAAAATGTGTGCCTGTAGAAAACGGACCTTAAAGGCCCGGACCTCCTGCTTTTCTGTACCCGCCTGGCATGGACTCTGGAGGCAGCCCGGAGAGGAGGTGAAGAACTGGAGCGGGTGTCCGAGCCCGCCGGGAATGAGCACAAGGGAGCTGGGGAACCCGTGGGTCAAACACAAGCCCCCAGAACATCTGAATTCCTCACTGGGTCTGGAACCTGTTGTGTGTAGGGTTACCAGGTGAGTTAAAAAAAATACCGGACACACTTGATCTCAGATGGGAGGTGGGCAGGGCTGGCCGGGAGGAGGGGGGGCAGCGGCCGGTGGGAAGCAGGGTTGGCAGGGTTGGGAGGAGGTGTTGGGTGCAGTGGGGCTGGCCGCGGGAGATCGGGAGGAGGAAGGGAGAACTGGCCACCGGAAGCAGGGCTGGCGGGGGCAGTGGGGGAGCCTGCGGAAGCAGGGCTGCCAAGAGGCGCGAGGGCGGGGGGAGCGGGGCCGGG